AGTCCATTTCAATTATGTCCCAGCCAATCTAGAACCAAACAGAGAATTTCAACTCAATAAGGTGGAAGAGTTCAAAGGATAAACTACATCATTAAGAACAAAAAGAAGTATTGCCATCATCCTTATAGATGGCATTGAAAAACCAACTAGACCATATACTGTAAATGGAATGTCCATTTGTACAGAGATTGACACATGAAAACTTATATCAAGTAATTTGTCTCATAGTACAAGTAAGATGTTAAAAGTTATTTAGCAGCTGTTCTTTTCCTGTCTTGTAAACTGCATGGGGTTTGATTTATATCTCTCAGTTGTATATTGTGAAAAGTTCAAAGCAGAACTATTAAAAAAAAAAAATCCCTGGTAATATTCAAGTTAGCAGGTGGTTTACACTTATATAGCTTTCCTGTCAAAGTGACATCACTATTTCAGTCTCTTTCAACAAATGGCATTGAATCCTGCTTTTTTGGACTTTAAATACTTTAAAAAGTGTCATGTGGGGAAATTCTTTAGTCTTATTTTCTATCGACTCTCATTCAATATGATGGGAAAAAAGTTGTTGTTTTCAAATTTCTTTCAAAGCCAAAGAGAATTTGAGTGAATGTTTCATGGCTGGAGGGTTATGTATTTCCACTTATCAGTTAAGATTCAGCTCAGAACTATGTTTACTTGTGAGTATCCTGTCTACAGGGTTGCAGCTTTGCTGATTTCCCATACTTCATTTTAAATTCCCAAAGATATATTGTTAGGGAAGTCTATGGGTCTCTTTAAAGTGATAAGTGAAGACCACTAAAGAAGCCTCAGAGGTATGGAAAAGCAGATAATAGCAGTAATCTTATAGAGAAGCAACATGCTGATTTTTTTGGCAGCAATATGGAAATGATTTACTATTCTCTCTTTTAGGGTCTTTTTTCAACTTAACCTATAGCTTCATGGTTTTCTGGTGTTGCTCATCAAAGTAGTAGCTGGCTTCAGCACTGCACAGATTTTCTGGTATCTGTCAGGATTAGTTAGATAAACTTCAAAACATCACCAAGATACATTTTCAGGTACTGTGAGAGTAAAGTAGAAGAAAACTCAAGAAACTGTAAGGCAGGTTTCAGTATATTACTTCTGACATTCTCAGTGGATCTTACTAACTTAAGTTACATACTGTATGTGGTTCTGTTTGAGATAAAAGCAAATGTAGCAGAGAAATTGGGTCCCACACCTGAATATACATCTAAGATATTCCTAAAATAACTAAGAATGAAGGAATGTACTGCTTCATTTTTCCAGGTTCTATAAAGGGTGAAAATGCACTTAATAAATTAGCAAACATCCATTTTGTGGTGTGTGGTGCTCCTGTTCAGGATTTAGCCAGCTAGTCATACTCTTTCTAAATATTCAATTCTATTTTAATGTCTTTCCATCAACTTATTATCACTAAGCATTTTGTATTAGAAAGAAAGAAGAAAATTTGACAAATATTAAATGGACCCAAAGTAAGGACATGATTGTATTAAGCCATTTTAACCACAGGACCTCACAAAATGGACAAGTTAATATTTTGTCCCAATAAAAGGATAAAGTAATGTCAAGGCAATGTAAGATCCTTTAACTTTCCATGATACTCCAAAGCAGACCACAAAATGACTGTTTTAGAAAAATGGGACTTTAATAAAAAAATATCAAGTGAGAAATTGCTGAACTACATATATCAAAAAGTTTCAGGCAATTTCAGAAGTTATCCATAAATACAATTAACATCATTATATGTGTAATCTGTTTTACGTCTAAGCTCCATCTGCATAACCAACCTATTCTTGCTCCCACCTTTTTCTCCCACATCATTGCAATTTAAATCCTACATCAGCCTAGCCACTCTATGTAGCTGAAGTGAGTTATAGAACATGACAGTGTATGCATTTTAATAACTCATTAAGTTGGAAAAGATGCTAGGAGTTTCCTGATTTTTTGCTATCACAGACTAACAGACTCTTTGATCCCTATATAACACATGGATAATAAATTTATTATCTAATATAAAACATAGCTTCACTGATCCAAGTGTTAAAACAAAGCATTTACTCATAATTAAAATTAGAAGAAAGTTGTTCAAAATACAAATTAAAAACGGTTGGGTAACTATTTGCAAAGAGAAATACTACATATTAGTACAAAAAGTTCCATTTATTTCAATTAGACAACTTCTAAGCAAACTAGGTTTGGTTGGGGCTACTATCACAGTTTAAAATAATCAGGATGTTACTCATTGGAAAAATACTTAATGGTAAAAGAAAGAATGTATCTCACTATTTTGTACAATGACCAAATGCTGTAATTTTAAGGAATTTGGCTCATTTACTGTAATTGACCTCCACTGCATCAGAGTGATACCTGCAAAGAGTTTAGTTTTCACTTTTTTCCAAACATAGAAAGGATATTATTTGACCTAGCTACCTTTCTCAAAGCATAAAAATGTTTCCTATAATTTCCAACAAATATGGAATTAATAGTTCAGAATGAATAGATCAAATTAAAAGTGAGATTATTAACTGACCTACTCTTGGATATTTTGATACCCTAATAATTTTTATTTAGTCCTGGTTGCTGCTTTAGTAGGATTATGCTTTTAGATTATGTTCTTGAAGCTTTTTTCATCATGCTTTGGAAACTATCTTGGATGGAAGCTACTCCATATAAGAATTTAATAATACAAAAATGAAAACAAAATGATAAAATCTCATGTATTGTTGTATTTATTATTAAAATAGATCAACTTTATTTAAAAATTCCTCAATATTTTTTATTTTTCTTATAGAAAATAAAATTGAATTTAAATTGAATTTGTGATTAATTTATATGAAAATTAAAAGTAAATATAGCGATTTTTAAACCATTAACTACATTCTAGGTCTTCTGTTTCGAGTGGAATTTGAATGTTTAGTTGATACTATATCTATGTATATTTTAAAATCAAATTCAAATCTTGTGTCAGTAGTGCATTGATCTATATTCATTAAAGCATGACATTGTTTTTGAACCTTTCATTTTAAACCTTTTGAGCTTAAAATAATGATGAAGTAGCAGAATGCTGAAAAAAGAAAAGGCCATTTTAATGACCAGAACAGAGACACTGCACCATTTTTTCCCCAAACCATCACCAAAGGATGCAGAATCCCACCAGATAATATTTATTTACTAAGGGTAACTATTATTTAAGTGTAAGCTAAAAAATAGTATGATATAAAATCTAACCTTCATTCATAAAATGGACTAGTGATATGCAATTTTACTAAGGTATTTTGTGTATACTGATGTGAAAGTCTAGGAATTATGAATTGGTAGATAGAACCATCTGCAAAGGCAATCATGTATGTCTCTTCAGCATTCCCTAGTTGGGTACCAGCTTGTAAATCACAATTTAACATAGCAACTTTTGCAAAGCATGCCATTTAGATGAAGACAAGTGTCTTCATGTATTATTTCTTGAATCTCTTAGTCATATATATTTTTGAATTAGAGTGTTAGTAGGTTTGAAGAATGCTCTTTAAGATTAATGGACTGTATTGCTTCAGAAGTCAACTATTGGATAAAAGAAGTTATATTTAAGCATACGCTGAATTGCATGTCAAAAGCTCAAGAGAGCTATCCTTAGGTTTAACAGTTGACAGTCTTTGAAGCAAGAGCCTTTTGTTTACATTTTGTCCTCCCCCCCCATATATAACTTATGGGGTTTTGGCCAGAGTTCAGTTTTTGATTCATTGGTACAAAGTAGTCTATTCCAACATGTTTCAGGCTTATCAATGGTTTCTTCTGCATGTTTTAGACAATGACTTGTGATGAAATCAAAGAAAAGATTTCCTTTTGCAAATCTCCTAGGCAGTCAGCTGGTCACTTGCAGTTATCTGTGGATTCTGTTTTATATACATAACCTATTTGCAGGCAGTCCTAGAAGGTATTTTTTTCTCAGCCTTCTGAATCATTTCTTGATTTAAAGAATTCCGTGAAACTTTCATTTTTTTTATACTTGTTCACAGGTGAAATTGACAGCTGGAAACATTTAGAGATTTTTAAAATAGTTTTACCCCACTTTATCTTTGGTTTTAAATGTTCAGACAGCTATTTAGAGGAATCTATGACTGTAGAAAGTAGACAAAATAACAGTTACTATCTAAACAGCTATAAAGGTAGAATATTTGCATTCAATTGTTCAATGGGAATCATAATCTAAGATGCTTAGTTATTTCTAAGGTAGAAATAATTCTGAGCCATTAAAACTCACAAGTTGTGTGCACAGGGCTTTTTTTTTAAATCAGATATAAATCTTCCACTTGACAAAATATGTTTATTCAACCAGAAAAATATATGCTATGCTGTGAGATAAGAAAACTAGAAGGTTGTAATTCTTATCTGCAAAATCTTATGTGACTGTCACCTTTTTTTGTAGAAACTTATTTTTTCAATAACTGTACAGTTATGAAACTGGGTTGTTTCATAAGAAGAAATTGTAAATATACATATAGATCTTTAATCAACCCAATAAATCAGTTATATCCTATTCATCATATTCTGCTTTGTATTATTTTTAATAAATAATATAAACTTATCTGCTTGGATCAGTAGTAATTATTTCTTTACAAAATTGAACATTAGTTTACATTTTTCAGTAAGGAGAAGTACAATAGTTGTTTAACAAGTACTGCTGTAACTAAAAAGCTTATATAGGATTGAAATTAGATCCATTTAATATAATAAATTAAGACCCATATTTGTTTGAATTTTCTCACAAATGCTTTGTTCTTTTGTCAGTTTGACTCTTACCCTTGAAACATTATTGTAAAATGGATGTTGATCAAGAGTTTATATCCTATCCTATCCTTTTCAAATGATCAAACGATTTTAACATTGTTCTTTGGAAAAAATGAAATATCCTATTTTAATAACCAGAATACATAAATTAAGTGCAAGTAGATGTTTTCAGCTTTTTATTTTTCCAAAACACATGTAAAATACAAAATATGTTAACTATAAAACTAAAAATATTGAAATGAGATCAGCAATGCTATCCTGATGGGAGGTTAACCTTGGTTCTGTCCATTCATGTTGGAGATATTTTTGAGATGTACATGTTCAGAAAATAGATTGTCAGAAATAAAAGAGCATTTACAGTTCAATCCATTTTGTGCAGAACAATCTGGGTTTTCCTATAGACTTTAAAAATCAAAAAGGGAATCCACGACTTCAGGCCTCGGTTGCAACAGTAGTGGGCATGAATGGGATCTAATGTCATTCTGTTTGGAAATGGCTTCATCCAAGTCCAATTCCCTATCATTTATTTTCACCTCCATGCAGCCATTGTAAAAAATTGTGACTGGAGTTGCCTCAACTGGAACATCTGAATAAACAGAGGATAGTTAATACAAATTCACACAGTCAAAAAACAAGTTAACAGGATAAAAATGTTTAAAAGAAAAATCGTATTTGATATGTGAGTCAAATTCAGTTTTTCTGAAAGAATTTTGTCATCATTGTAGTACAATTATAGTCGCAGTAATTAAACTGATCTCAAACTGATTCTTGGCGTCCCATCACAATATTACCTCAGCAATAGGGAATCTATATTTCTGTAAGTCTCACAGTTAATGGTATTGGTAATATACTTAGTGGTTTGGCAGAGAGCATAGAATTGTTACTACTGATTCCTACTTATAAATCAGAGATAGTATCTAAAGAGTAGATTATGCTGTAGATGGATATGTTTCTTACATAGTTTAGAATTTCGACCTAAGAAATCAAATAGGCTCTCCTCTTTAGATGAATCCACTACAAATGAATTGTGGAAAGCCCACAATGTGGATGTGTTAGTGCAGCTTCTCTCTCCCCCCTCTGATAATGTATTATAGCTCATTTTTCCACTCATACAAATTATTAAACTTTGTGTAAGGAATAATTTGTTTTAATAAGAACCATAAGGTGTTGCATAACACAAAGTGTGAAATCCATGCCTTATGCTGAACCAACTCAGTCTACTATATTGAAGGACTTCTTAATTGATTTTCTCAGGGCTAAGATGACCTATGCACACAATACCTTTATTGTGTAGGTGAAAAACTGAAATTTCATCATTTTAAGGCTGATATTTTATGTATTTTTCAGAATTTAATGGAAAGTCAGCCCACTACAGTTGGTGAGTGTTAGAGTGGATTCTTCTAGGAGACTTAATCCTATAAGCATTTACTGAAAGTCAATAAAAACAAGACTTACCAGGAATGCCCCCTAGGTAGGTATCAACAGATTCATTAATTGCTTGTTCAAGGACAGAGAGATGTGGTCCTGAATAGGTGATAACTGAATGTGAATCAGCTGTAAGTTCAAGCTGCTGTCTACTTATCCTGAGTCTGAGTAGCACTCTTTTTGAGGTACACAAATTTCTTGACTCTAAGTGAGCAACAATGACATTCTGAATGGATACGATGATTTCCTGAGATTCAGAAGCAAAATAAGAGGGAGTAATCAATTTCAGTTTATATTTCATTTTTCCATTCCCAGAAAAGCTTTAAAAGCCTATATAATGAATGCAATAGCTTACCAAACATATACTAAATGTATTTCAATTAAGTCACAAGAACAAATACTAAAAATGTGAATATTTAAATACTAGTGATAATTCAATGAATGTAAGATTCATAATTGAATAAATCAACTTATATTTCTTAGTAACATTCCAATAAATCGTAAGAAATAACTAAATACAAATTTACCATTTTTTGCAGCCCTGATGTGCTTGCTTTAATGTTTAGCACCAACATTTTTCAAACTATTTTCTAAATGTAAACAAAATCATTTCTGACATGAAGAACCATGTTTCCAGAAATATATATCATATTACAGCAGATGGCTTACTTTTAATCAGAAGCATTCAGGGTCTTGTCTTATCAAAAAAATCAGGATGCCAGAATGATCAAAGCCCTGTCAAATTTGTTGCATGCATGCATGCAGTCACATTTTACAAGATGGACAGCCATATAAATATGATACATAAATAAATAAATGCCAGGACTTCAAATTGTGCTGCTGAAACTGCCACCTTAACTTTTTTGACCTCCATCCTGAAGTCACTGCTTCTTTTAATTATCTTTTCATGAAAATTCTGCACAGTAAAGATGTAAATCAGAAAAAGATTTTTTATAGAGATCCACAGATTTATTTCAAACAAGGAATTGCCCTAGGGACATTCTGAATGATGTGACCAGGAAGAGGGGGGAGGGAATGAGGCATTTATCTCAATCTCCCTATGGTTGGTGAAAAATATTAATTTTTGCTTGTCAAAATCAAACTAATTATACACATGTCTAAACACAATTGCCTCTCAATTCCTTATCTGGCTTAAGCTAGGGAAAAGTCTACTGAATCTTAGTTGCATCACATTCTCATGGTAAAGGAACTAAAAAGTTTCCTAGTTATTTTTTCCCTGTGCCTTGCGGGTACTAGGCATGCATATAGTGGGAGAAAAAAGTACCTGTACATTTGTTAAGTTGGAATCCACAATAGACAAAGCAAGAGGAACTGTTTCACCTGAAACCAAGGCAAACATTACTCCAGTGCCTGTGGATGGACGGATAGCCATTGTCACATTTATTAACCAATCACCTGTGTTGCTTGAAATGTTATCTGTTTTATTTTAAAATAAATCAGAAAGCAAGAGAAAAGACAGTTACAAAATAATCATTTATTCTCAACTTTCCCACATACAAAAATCTTTTGAAACAGATTCTTTTACTCTTTCCTGAAACATATATTTTTTTAAAATGTACTGTAACGCTACTTGTAAGATTTTTTTTTTGAGAAGAGCAATCTTATGTATTTCTCTAACCTGCCTCAAACTGATAACCAGACTCAATATAAATCTTGAAATATTTCTGTTATTTTCCAGCGCGTATCTTTGCAATATTTGCAGAAAAGAGGTGCTCCATCATAAGCAGCTTTCACCCAATAACCTGGATAGATAGATCATGACAACACTTTAGGGCTATAGCTTTGAAATACTTCTGCTATGACCTACAAGGATATTTGGGCAGAAACACCTGCCTTGTAGGCAAGACTCCATATTTAGGTACAGGCAGTTTGGTGTAGTAATTAAGGTACCAAGCTAAAAACTGGGAATCCATGCGTTCTAATCCCAATCTGCTATGAAACTAACTGGGTGACCTTGGGCCAGTCACTCTCTTTCAATTCTAGGAAATAAGCAAGCCACTTCTGAAGTCTTGCCAAAAAAAATAACTCCAGATATTGTCATTCTTGGGCCCAGATACTTCAGGTACAATAGCTCACAACCTCAGTATCTTCTGTTCGGATTACTGTTTCGATCTGCCTTTGAAGAATATTCAGAAACAAAATGTTGAAGTTCAAGTACTGGCAAAAGAAAACCAATTCAACAAACTAAAATCACTTTTTTGGTCATTGTATAGGTCTCCTATAGACATATGTTACTTATAGGTCTCCTGGTAAAATTCAAAGTGCTGTCACCTATGAAGCTTATGATGGCTTCTGGCTATTTGGGGGACTTTCTGTTCCAAACAGAATCTGTCCATCTTGCACATCTGAATGGAGAAGGCATGTTATAAATTCCTATCTATCACAAAGCTAAGGATGCTAGAAAAGATCTGTGTGGTTGCTAACAGTTAACAGCAACACATAATAAGTCAAACAATCAGTTAATGAACCTAGGGGAGCGAGGACAAGAAAAAGTGTCTGGTCCATGGTTGTTCTAGCCTTATGGAATGCTTTGCCCCAATGTAAAATTGTATCTTCCCTATTAACATTGAAGAAGAAAGCAAAAACAACCCTCTTCATCAAGCTTATTTTGGGAGACATGTTTTGCCATGCCGTTTATTTAACAGTTTTATGATCTTATGATTATGATTATACACACAAATGTACACACAAACATATACATACATAAACATGCAACAATACTATCCAGAGTTTATGATTAGAAATTGTGTTAAACAAGCAAGCTTACTGTAGCTAATGTGAAACTTTGCCATGCCAGTGCCAGGGTAGTAAGATCCCTTTCCAACATTTATTAAACAATGTTTGCTTTGCTTCTCTTGAATTAACTCTTTTACACCAGAGGTTCCTTGATTTAACAAGTTCCAACCCCGAATACACCCATCCAAACGGGGGTTAATCTGTAAAAAAATAAATTATAGAACTGATTATGTCATTCCAGGAATATTATCCAAGGCTGGAATTTGCATACTGGGAATCTACTAAAAATATCTATGCTAGCATCTATTTCTTTCTCTTCAAATCATACTCTATTAGTTCATCATTTCAGAAATTTCCAAAAGATAATTTGTATTCATTAGCTACAAAAGCTAACAAGGAATTTCTTAAAGGTGGAAGAGTAGTTACTTGGGAAGAATAAATCATCTCTTAACTAGCTTCATAGAAAGCCATGCTAGTTTCAGGAAAGTAAGTCTTTTCCTTTGTAGATACAGGTAGTTCTCATTTACCAAGTGGTACTTGGGATTGGTACTCCATCATTAAGCTAAATGATCATAAGGAGTGACATCATGTGATCACACTGATTTACAATGGCAGGTTTGCAGTTTCAATTGCTGTCATTAGGCAAATCCCGCAGTGTCCCTGTCACATGATTGCCATTTGTGACCTTCTGCCTGCTTTCCTAGTGACTTTGCTTGTCACAAGCCGGCAATGAAAGGCACAAATGGTGATCATGTGATTTCAGGATGTTGCAATGTCATAATTGCGAGCTGGTTGCTGAGCACCCATATGGCAATCATGTGTTGGCAGAGATGCTAAAATAGCCGCAAGTACAAGAATCTGTAATTAAGATCCTTTTGTTCAGCCCCATCGTAACTTTGGTTATTGAACAAGTGGATGATAAACAAGGAACTATTTGTATCAGAAAATTACGCAACGTAGGCAAAGAAAAAACAGGGAAATTTAGCCTTTCTCTGCTAGCCAATCTTGTGATAAAAGGTTAATATGCTATTTTGCCAAGTTATCTATCAGGGATATTTAAAACATTTGCTAAAGAAGTGTGTTGTGCTTTCAGAGTTGTGAAACATTACTTTCAGATGTTATGCACTGCCTTTTTATAGTAACTATACTATACTATATATTTTACAGTAACTATATATTATAAATAAATAGTCTGTGCCCTAGCAACTATCATTTTAAATTGTCTTCACAGATTTTTCATTGATTTAATATAACTCATTAATTTATTATATAGTGCAACACTAACACAAAGCAGTGTTAAAAAGCTTTCCATAACCAAATGTATTTCTATCTTCATATAATGAAACCCTGAGATTTGGTTGTTTTTATGACCTCAAATAATGTGACCAACACTGAAATATAGTTTAAAGTATGACTTACTAAGTCATATTTTAGCTCCTAGGTGACAACAGCTGTCAGTATATGCTTAAAGTTCCGATTATCTAAAATTACATATAACAATCTCTTTTGCAGATCAGGTTTTATGCTAACCTTTGGGGATATAATTCTCAGAAGGGTCACTTATTTTCCTGGTTTAGGATTCCATAAAGCTGTGTTTCAATATTTTCCATGTACACCATTTGTTCATTGAGGAACAACTGACTCACACAAAAATTTGGAATATGAAAATACATGACTGGACTTCCAAGGCCAGTGTAGGAGGGGACATAAAGAATTACTTTCAGTGTAACACTTGCAAGCATAACTGACAGCTGGGATCAAACATCTCTTTTTGCTGAAAGCAGGGTATGATTTCTACATGTCAGGCAAATAGCCAACTAGTGATCAGTTGAAATTTAGTGCATAGCATTTTTCAGTCTTTTGTAGAACTTGCAAATGCCCAATTTTCTGTGTGAAAAAAAATGAAAACAAATTATCTTTAGATAAAAATGTTGTAAAGAAGATAACTCAGTAGATAATCTTGATTTTTTAATATGCCTACATTTTCAAAGTAGCAATAATGGCATCTCATAAGTAGTACAATCAAAGTTATTTATGTTTACACTGTTACTTCAGGCATGGTTAAACTGTTATTAATCTTCTCTGCCATTTCATTCTGCTATTAGCAACTCTGCCCTTTATGAAGTAGGAAGCATATACATTTTTTTTCCTCTGGAACAGCGCTTTTGCATGGTAGAGTGTCTTTGCAAAGAGACATAGTTTTTTTTCTTTTTTTCTAATAGCAAACATCCTTATTGTCTTTTTACAACTATCTCATTGAATGCTTAAAACTGAAGCTCCTTATTCTAGCTATAATTTATTTCAAAATTACTGCAGGACAAATGCTACTCTAGCTCATGAAAATGCACCAGTACTTTCAGTATAAGTGTTAGTAAAAAAATAAAATAAAAGCAACCCTTTTCGAAGCTGTAGCACTTAATGGGATACTTCTTCAAATTTTACTCCTTCAGGGCAGATCACTTCACTCCTGTTTATGCATGGAATAATAGACGACACCTGTGCACTGAAAGTTATGAAACAATATGATGGAGGAAAAAAACCTAGGTTTTTTTCATCATTGTTTGTGGTTGTGGGCTCATTCTACAGATGTCATGTGAACCCAGGAGGCAATTGACTCTCAAATAGGTGTGTATATCTAATATAGTATATGTGTGTAAGTGTGTGCATTTCACCACATTTATAGCCTTTTCTCAGCCTTTCATAGTTCTGGGTTCTTTAAAAGTGTTGGAGCTGTGATTTCCTGGATTCTCAAGTAAAATAGTTATGCTGGTAAGAATTCAATAAATTATAATCAACTCTTAGTGAGAATCTTAGATTAACAAGAATCTTAAAAATGGTAGGTGTACATTAGTACTACATTCTGTTTTCTAAAAATAAATCTCTAAACTTGATATTATACAATATACACATAATATTTCTATGAGAACGAGTTTTAAAAGAAAAAAGATCCAAATATTAATTGCTATACCTAAATTTACTGTAATATGATGCCCCAGCAAATGCTACAAAAATTACCAATTTAATGAGACTGTTGTCCATTCTGCGAGGGAGTCCTGCAATATATACTTTTGTGTCCAAAAAGCCATTGGAAAGCTTGAAAAGAGGTCTTGGGTTATTGATGTTCATCACTGCTTCTTTCGCTATTTTCACACTGATGCTATGCTCTAGTTCTTCCACAGAGATCTAAATACAAAAAAAGTTATCCGAAGTATATATATGCTGAGAATCTGTTCCAATCCAGCAACAATTATGTGTGTGCAATAAGATCCTGATTTGGTTGAAGGGATTCACATAATTAGAACAACATTTGCTAAAAACACACTAGCCAGTTTACCATGCGAAGGCACAATATAGTTTGCAAAACTCTATGGGCCCTTAGCATCCTTTCATGTATCCAGAACCCCCAATACATACTTTGTTTTAGTACACTGATAAATATAACCAGATAGTTTGAATTAGTTTAATTCCCCATAGAAGACAAAAAGAGGTGGGCAGGGTCTTCTAAGCAGGCCAAGGAAGGTAAAACCTAGGGGAACTTTAGAAAGTGGAAGGTTGATGATGGAGGAAGGTGATAGTTAGCACCCTAAGATAGATCTAGCCAGTGCTGGCTGATTAAGTTTTATTGTTTTGGTAGTTGATGATCTGAGATGCACTAGACAGTGTTATCCTGTTAAAGACTTATTAGTTCAATGACAGTCTGGGCCAAGAAATGAAGAAAAGCATTACTTGGGGACAAAGTGCTGAAATTGGGAACTGGCATGGAATAGAATAATCTGGTACAGAGGGCTCTCTACTTTTACTAGCAAGGTACTAAGCCAAAAAGTATAGCAAAATATCTTGATTATATAACCATAATGCTCCGTGGCCATACCCTTGTGCACAATAACTGTAACAAAAAAACTGCTGATGTTTGAATGGATATAATTCACAAGATTTTTTTAAAAAAATCAACCCTCAAACTTTCAATACACATTTATATTGACTTGGGCATTGATAACAATGACTTTCTAATTATTGTTCTCAGTAGGTAGGTTATTAATTCAGATTATGAAAAATATGTTAGAGAAGTATATATATTGTGGTATTTAGCTCTTGTACATAACCTTTGCATCTACAGAAGAGAATGCAATGTGTCCATTCAGTCTGACAATCTCAGTCTCTTGTTAATTACTTCAGAATATAATATAAAGGTATAATATAATACCTTTCTATCCCACGGTGTTATTTGCTCTCAAAGAAATCTTTTCAAGCAATTGAAACCTTTGCTTCTACAGTAAATGCTACAATAATTCTAAGAATGAACAATCAATGTCTTAATAATTTTTAAATTCTGGATTTAAAATCCTGATGGAAGTCAGGGCCTATGGTTTAAAGAATTATAAAATACATGACATTATTTCATTTAAACAAAGTGACAGATTTATACTACAAGTGCATTACTTTAAAAAAGGCTTATTTCATAAAGCTGCTTTTCTGTATGTTTAGATTATTTATATGGCTTCTCAATTCACAATAGTGACTCTGTTTTCAGGCTCTCATTTGCTGAAAAAGACTTACCATGTGCCACAAACCATCATTAATAGCTTTACCACCACTTGTTACTTTTGTCCCAAGCTCATTTTTGAACTGAATTTCAATCTTTCCTTCACGCAAAGCAAGTAGAAACCAGGCTGTACTGTTTGTGGTTTCAGCATACAGTATCACACCCTCCTTATCATAAGTCCGGAAGTCAAATTCTGCAGAAAATCTGAGTTGAAAAAAAGCAAGCCTAAAAAGTATGCAGCAGGAAGACTGGATATATACATTAAGAATGTTGTTACATGTACGGCAGTATGATACATCTGGACTCAAAAAACTGACTAAAGATAAAACAAGAATTGCTTAATGAACATGAGAATTTTTCATGGTTAATGCATTTGCAAATAATTTGAAAAATAAAAAAATGATCTCAGATAAGAAGGAGGGAGATAAATAAAATTTGAAAAACACAGAATCAAAATAATTTATTAATGTGTATTTACAAATTGTTATTCAAATATAAAATGTACACAGCACAAATTAACTGTATGATAAAATGGGTGCAAAACTTTAAAGCTGTAATAACAGTAGAATAACGAAGAACTAAAGAAAAAGCTGTAACATTTACATGATGCTACAATGTGATGGAAAATTGGTAAAAAAAATCTTTTACAAAAATCCTTGACTTATGAGCACAACTGAACTCAAAATTTCTGTTGCTAAGTGAGACATTTGTTAAATGACTTTTGCCCCATTTTATGACCTTTCTTGACACAGTTAAGTGTATCACTGCCCTTGTTAAATTAGTAACACCATTACTGGATTCCCCATTGACTTCACTTACCACAGTGTTTCTCAACCTTGACAATTTTAAGGCATGTGGACTTCAATTCCCAAAATTCCACAGCCAGCATTGCTGGCTGTGGAATTCTGGGGTTGAAGTCCACATGCATTAAAATTGTCAAGGTTGAGAAACACTGGCTTATCAGAAGATTGCAAAAAATGATCATGTGACCCGAAGACACTGCAACCATCATAAATATAAGTCAGTTGCCAAGCATCTGAATTTTGATCACGTGACCATGAGTGTGAAGAACGGTTGTGTGAAAAATGGTCATCAGTCAAAGTTGTAACTTTGAACAGTCACTAAATGTACTGTTGTAAGTCAAGGACTACCTGTATAACTCCATTAATTATTTTCAAAATAAATATTGGAAATGTAAAAAAATGTAAAAAATGTAAAAAAGATGTTGAGACTCTAGAAAGAGTACAGAGAACAGCAACAAAGATGATTAGGGGACAGGAGGCTAAAACATATAAGGAATTGGGCATGTCTAGTTTAATGAAGAGAAGGACGAGGGGTGACATGATAGCAGTGTTCCAATATCTCAGGAAGATATTCACAAAGAAGAGGGAGCCAAACTATTCTCCAAAGCACCTGAAGGCAGGATAAGAAACAACGGATGGAAACTAATCAAGGAGACAAGCAACCTAGAACTAAGGAAAAATTTTCTGACAGTAGAACAATTAATCAGTGGAACAACCTGCCTCCAAAAACGATGAATGCTCCAACACTGGAAGTTTTTAAGAAGAGACTGGACAGCCATTTGTCTGAAATGGTATAGGGTTTCCTGCCTGAGCAGGGGGTTGGACTAGATGACCTCCAATATCCCTTCCAACTTTATTATTATTATTATTATTATTATTATTATTATTATTATTAGCCACAACAAAGAAGGAACATTTTATTGCATGCAATCATTCTGTAAAAAGAAGTACCAAAAGGAAATGCATCAAAATATCCAGAAAATTCCAAAAATAAAATCTGAATTAAAATCACAAATATTAGATATGTATCCAGAAAATATAAATGAAAACCATCACAATTTAACATACAGATATATTTATGTATGTATGTATGTATGTATCTCTAATTATGTTAAAAATTCGAATCCTGGGTGATGCCATGTAGTAAAAACAAATAAATATGAACACCAGGATAATATCAAACTAGGATTTGTTTAATAAAATGCTGAGCTTTCGTCAGCCAGCACTGCCGACATCATCAGAGCATTTTCAGAGAAAAGAAAGTGGATAAGGGAACTGCGGCTTTAAAAACCATCAAGGGAACAGCGATTACGTGCCTTTCAAGAATGAAACAATCAGAGACATCAGATGGACCGATGACTAGGTCTAGGAGCCGTGCGCAAAATCGGCCGGTGTTATAAAAAGGGAACTCCCATTGACTTGTTTCTATGCTCTGATGATGTCGGCAATGCTGGCCGACGAAAGCTCAGCATTTTATTAAACAAATCCTAGTTTGATATTATCTTGGTGTTTGTATTTATTTGTTTTTACTGTATGTATGTATGTATGTATGTATGTATGTATGTATGTATGTATATAGGTATACACTGCAGAAATCTACCCAAATGTGAAATCTATATAGACACATATATAGATAACATAACAAGGTAAGCAAAGACACATAATATGGCTTTTGAAGAAAAAGATAAAGTGTTAAAAATAATTAAACTGATTCAAAGAGAAGTCAATAATAATGACAGATGTCCAAAACATAGTGTGAAAATATTTAAGCAGCATTGCTGGTATTGAAAAAAAAATGGAGGGGGTGGGAAAGAAGGAAGCTACTGCAATCTTTGTTATATTTGTTTTATTTTATTTAGTTTATTTTGTGTGCATATGTGTGCATTCTCTTTTCTTTGGTTTTGCTCTTTTTGTTATATTATCTATCAGAAAAAAATGTTACAAAATAAAATACAATTAACTGGCATTGATAAAACTGCTTACAGCTAGTTATATACTCATCACAAACAACAGAACTGCATTTATCCGCATGCTTACTCATATCTACTCACCTTGTAACCTCTGGCAATCTAAACCTTAAATACAAAACAGGGATTCCAATAAATTGTTCTGCCAGATAAAGCAATTCATAATTTTTTTCAAGATTCAAAGGGAGACAATCTGGTACGGTCTAGAAATAACAGGCAAAAGAAACATTAGGTGATTATTCTTCCAAACTCTTCTTCTACAAATCTAATTGCCATAGTTGAGACCTATTAGTATATAACCATTTGTACAGTTAATATTTTCATTTGTTTTCAAAAATAAATTGCAAGCTTAGAGGGAAAACACAAAATAGGCAAGAAAGGAAGATTTAATCATATATTGTCAATTATAATACCAATTTATATAACGTCTCCTATTCCTGCTCGTTGCAGTGAAACTAAAAATCCCATTGATCCCACTTCCTACGGTAGTATCAGAGTCTGAATCCAAATCAAGCTCCCTGTACTTGCATTGTTCTTTTTTTAAAGACATCCAGTTGTTTGTAGAATGAATAATGCTTGTCTAATTTTGACATAATTTGGACTCAGGATAAACTCTAACCTTTATAATTAGTTGGTATTTTATTATGGTTAATGACAATACTATATTCTAAACTATATTTTAGAAGTTTAAAAGGAATTTTGTGGCAACATGTGGGGTGGGCAGATGTTCTTGGCAGAAGGCAGTCTTTCGAGTAAACTGATCCTATGTCATGTAGGTTTTTCAAGTAATAAGAACATATATTTTATTAATATACAGGAATTCTGTTTCAAGTCCACCTTTAGCCAAGGAAGCTTTCCAAGTGACTTCTCTCAGCCCCCAACTAACTTTACAGAACTGTTGTTGTGTTGTTGTGGAGATATAATTAAAGCATGCTGCTTTGAAATTTCAGAGGAAAAGAAGAATATAAATCTAGGTAATAAAAATAGAATAGAATATAAATAAGCTGCTTTGAATACAGGGGAGAGACAAAGTTATGAATAAATCAATAAATCAGATAGAGTGCAGAAATGGATGGTAAAAGATGTTTAGCTGTCTCCTGGCATCAAGAAAAATAAGAAAATGATAATTATATTTCACCTCACAAGTTCTCATATCCTTGGAAAGCTTGAAACCTTTCTTGCCATCACAATAGCATGTGAAGCTTCCTGGAGAATTAACACAGATTTGGGAACAAGTGTTTTCAGCACATTCATCAATATCTGCAGGGAAATGGAGAAAATGAATCAACTGCCAGAATTCTTGAGAATCATGCATAAATAATATCAAATTGAAGAATTGAAAGAATAACACAAATGCACATTTAGGTGGCACCTAAGAATTCATGTCTTATAAAAAATGGATGCAGGTACAACTCTACTGCAGACTTAAAATAATCAGTTACCAGTTAAACCAAATGCAGTCAACTTGATGTCATAAATAACAGGTTTTTTTAATTTTAGGCCATAAATAACAACAACAATAACAACAACAAAGGCTTACTAAATGTTTGGTAGGATGCCATTACTGATGTGCAGTAAGGTATTTTTACTAAGGAAATTGCTAGGTGTAGAGAAATGTAACAAATAATAACAATAAATGTTTATTGTGCAATAATACTCAAAGGTTTATGATATTACTGTATATCACAATTTATAAAAATCAGTAACATCTTAAGTATAGTGTTTGGAATGTACAGTATACATTGCATATATTCATTCTCTTTATATAGGAAAAAGCAGTTCAATTTAACTGTATTGAAGATGTGTACATCTATGTGCAAATTCTGAATACTCGGGGAGCCTTGGGAAGCAATTTTCCAGAAACAAAATGTGAGCTGACCAGGGCAAAATATTGTCTTGATGAATCAAATTGAGTTCTCTATTGTGCTGGCCAAACAGAATCCAGAATTCAGAGGCACAGAGCAATGTGAAATGCAGCATTAAAACTTTTTAAAATTTTCTTATTTATTTATTCTATAAGAACCTAGACTTGGCAAATTTGTATGATGTAGATTTTGTAACATGGAATTTATATGAAATCAAAATGACAATTATTTTTATAGAAAATTATAGTGAATTCTCTGCAAAAAAACAAATTAGTATTTGTTTAGGAATCTACTTAAAATAAATACCTTCACATTTCTTTGTAGTTGAATTGTAGAAGAAACCAGTTTCACATTCACATTCATACTTCCCAGGTGTATTTTTGCACCGTGCTGTCCCACAAATGTTTTGATACAATATGCATTCATTCCTGTCTATACATATAAAATGTGCATTAATTTCCCAGAAAAGGGAATTGTTACTTTTTCATTCTATTGCAATTTTATACAATGGAATAAAGCTGGAAAAGTTCTGCAAATATTAACCTACCCAAGCAGTTATGGAAAATATGAACTTATAAAACACAAACAATGCAAAGGTTAACAGGATATGGACATTTTACTAATTATAAAGATTTGATTCTAAAATGTTCATGAAATTGTTAAGGATAGTTATCTCATTTTTCATATTATTGCTAATTTAATTTTCCATGAATTGTCCAAGAGAGATTTCTTTCATGCACTCATTCTAAGCTAGCCTTTCTGAAACTCCATTAATATCATCTAGCATGGACCATAGAGTAATAAAATGCATACCCAACATGTATGGAAAGGATTATATGTAAGCAGGGATTTTTTTGGGAGGTATATACACTCTCCAATTTTAATTAAATATAATTATCCTTATCTATGGCCTAACATGGAGTGAAGAAAAAATGAAGTTTTGTAAGCAAATCATCTTAAGTCAAAGCAAGAACTCATGTAAATATAGACTAAATTTGTTAACAAGCGTAGTAGATTGACTGAAACACTGTGTCAACATGCTAACATACTAGTTTTCCATTGTATTAATGGATACTGATGGAACTTGGGCATTTATGATGTAGAAGTTAGAAGGGCTCATTGCTTCATGATAGGGCACGGAGGGTATTCCAAAGATAGACTGATAGGCTGGTAGAAATCTTGTCTGAAAGCTGGAGTGCTGTTGTTGACAACATTAAACTAGATGACTGAAGTTTTACTCGATACAAAACAGTTTCCTATGTTCCCATTTAATGTTCAGAACAGGGGCATTGAAACATGCTTGTATAGCCGTTGGCACTATGACTCTTACAATTTGGCCTTTTAGTCTTATTTCATAATATAAAATGAGCTTTTGTTTCCAGTATGTTGTCACTTGTACTTTCTGACTTTTTCCTTACCCTTGCAGTCCATTTTATTTGGCTGTATATAATAACCATCTTCACAGTAACAGCGGTAGCTTCCATGAAAATTAACACAAATTTGATCACATCCTCCATTTTTATTTATAGGGTCATCACATTCGTTTATATCTAGTGGGGGGAAAACAACGTATTGTCATATGCTGAACTGCTACGTGCATATTCAACATGGAAATATATGGTGAAAAGATATGTCCTGTTATCAGTTAGTTTAGTGACCATACCTTCTTCACATTGATCTCCTTGCCATCCAGGTTTACAAGTGCATGTGAATGTGGCTTGTCCATCTCTGCATTCTTCATAGCCATCCACATTGCAAGGCAGAGGATTACACTGGTCTGATATTACTGCAGGGAAGATTACAGAATCAGAAAAGTGCTAATATTATAACCAGCCCTCTTTTAATTCTGTTTCTCCATTTTCATCCTTACAAAGAAAGGACTTCAATGACTGAAGATAAAAGTCATTGTATCCTACATATCCTATTTTAATTTTTGCAGGACCTTTCAAATTGTTTTCAGATGCAATTCAGAACAACTTCTAATCTCTTTGTAAGTGAATGCTGCCCATTTATTGAATTTATTTATAAAATTTCCAATATAATTACAGCATTATCACAATAAAATACTCTATTGAGAATAAAAAAAATCATACCCAAAAAACTCATCTGTTCTTGTTCTCCATATAAATTAATCAAAAAATCTGTCAGAAAAGGTTTCTCTTTTTTTCCCCACTAGCACTAGCTAGGTTTGGCAGAAAATTTGTTTAAACCTCTGCATGAAGGAAATCACAGAGGCAAAATTGCTACTACTAAATTGCTATTATTTGTTCTTGATGTCTCCATTTCAGTTGGTGATAGTATCACCAGAAGAGCTCCCTCAGAAGGATTATATAAGCATAGTAGTTCCTTTGGGTCATAAGTCAATAGGATTTTAGGTATCAAACCAGCAATTTGAAGTGGGCATTGTGACACTAAAGTAGCCTGTGGGTGTCTTTAAAGATTGATGTCAAAACAGGGAATTAAACATTTTGTACATGTTAAAATCTTAAACTGTTATCAAAGGAAACCTCTTACAAAGTGCTATACAATAAATGAACTGAAAAAATATTAGAACATGCATTTTATCAGTGTTTTCAAATTTTGAAGTGAATGGATTTGCTGGCTGGCTAGGAATTTCTGGGATTGAAATCTCCACATCTTAAAGTTGCCAAATTATATTATATGAATAGGTGTTTGCCCAGGACTGGTCATAGTGAGTGAACCAGACATGAATAAAATAAAAAGTCCATGCTACTTTAGCCTGATGGATCCTCTGTGACAAAACTGAATGAAAGAGAATTCTCAGACATCCTTCTTCCCAGAGAAGTCATTGAACCACAATGTATTTGTAGATTATGCCAAAAACAAAGGAACCATATTTTAGCTCAGTAAACTCAGTCAGTGTTAACCTGCAGCACTTGCTCTGCTGAGGCTACAAGCAAATTTGTTTCATTACAAAATGTTTAAGCTAGGGAAGCCTTAGTTATCAATTGCTAGATTTGTGTTTGTTTTGTTTTTCCTGTTGTCACAATAGCTTGTGTTATGACACAAGCCCAATTGAGGAAAAAATGAATATCAAATAGAGCAGTGATTCTCACTAGAGACCATTTAGCAAGATAACATGCTCAGGCATGCCTATCACTGATTCCATCCCCAGAGTCTTTAATGACAATATAGAAACATCAAGAAAGAATTAATAAGAACACAATTTAATTTGAGATTCCACAAACTTTAGTGCAGCAGTCCAGTCCTCAGGTAAGATAATTAAAAATGACTCCCTTTACACCTTATCTATTCCCATGGATAAAAGATAGAAACAGTTACTGAAAAATAAATATATAAATTGTACTTTGGATCTTTTTAATTTCCTTATGTAATCTGAAACCAGACAATAATTTCATCATTACATATAAGAAGAAACCCTTATCAAGAAGAAAAGCCAGGAAGAAAAGAACTTCACTCAAGTTGTTCCTCACCAATTTCTTTCATAGACTCTGCATGCATTTGTTCATTAAAAAAAAATTACTTCCCACTGTTGCATTACAGGAATTAGGTAAATGCATTAATGCAGTGGTTCCCAACCAGGGGTGCAAGACAATATTCCAGAGAGTGCGCAAACTTGGGTTTTCAAAGTTATTTTTTTTATTATTTATTATTTTTTT